TTGCCCCCCCTCTTACCCCCCCACCCCCCCCCACCCCCCCTGCGCCCCACCCCTCTAGCCCCCCCTCTTGCCCCCCCCTCTTGCCCCCCCTTGCCCCCCCACCCCTCCTGCCCTCCCCCTCTTGCCCCCCCACCCCCCCTTGCGCTCCCCCCTCTTGCCCCCCCACCCCCCCTGCGCCCCCCTGCGCCCTCCTGCCCCCCCCTGCACCCCCTATCTCATTGTTTCAACTGCCGTGCCAGCCGGGAGGTGGAATTGAACCTGCACACTCTGTGATTGCGAGTGAGGAGTGTGAATGCTGCACAGGCTGCTGCACCACCACGCCATCGCCCCCCCCCCCCCCCACTCTCTCTCGCGTCACGGGGTTATCATTCACGGCAACATTGATTAAGCTTTAAGGACCCATTTAATTACCCGAACGGTCGGTCGTGAATAACGGGAAATAGCTGCAGCAGCAGCGACAACAACAACCAACACCACTACGCAGCAGCAGCAACAAAGTAGCAGTCGGGATGAATGCTCAATCCACAAAACGGCTTTGTTCGGACGAAGAGGCATTAAAATTTTAATCCGTCACGGCTTCGTTAGCGGCAAATATTACGGCTTGTCACGTTGAAATAGATACGTCAAATACGTCGTAGCCCCCCCCCCCCATCTCCACCCCACGTCCACGCTGTAAAAGGACCCCCTTTTTGGGAAGTAATTTTGGCAAGAATTGCAGTAGCATCGGGGAGGACAAGTTGACTTGACCATCCCCCGAACAGTAACAACAATAACAATAATAGGTGTAAATAATACAATAATAATAATAAAACATAATAAGATAATTCTCATGCCGTTTCGGCCACAACGCAAGCAGCCGTCCTCAGGTGAAGAACAGGTCTGTCGAGAAGACAGAGTCTGAATGACAGACCTGTTCTTCACCTGAGGACGGCTGCTTGCGTTGTGGCCGAAACGTCGTGAGAATTATTTTATTATGTTTAATTTGTATTATTTTATTATTTCCCTTCTACGTGACTGTACTGAAAGAACCAAGAAGATGAATCCCTGCAGTCACGAAAGCTTTAAATCGAAATTTAATAATAGGTGTGTACCCTTTCTGGCTATAAAACAGGAGGTGTTAAAATGTCCAAACACCGAATCAAGTACCTCAGTAACCACACCACGCTACTTGTGGTGAGCATGCAAACAAGCATGCTCTGATTATAATTGTATATGCCTACACCCAGAGACGGCCTTCAAAGGCAATCCATCTATTATCCCAGCATGTTTGTTTGCACGTTCACCACAAGTCCCCGTGTGTGGTGAGTGCAGACTTGATTCCTTGCGAAAGGTTTTGTACATTTGGCGTTTGAACATCTCAACCGCCTGTCTTTTTTCCAGAAATGTTGAGCCCTGTTCTTGTTTTTCACACTCTGATGCTGGCAAAAATGTCCCCATGGCATGATCGTATCCCTGCTGGCCACAGAGATACGGTCAGGGCAAGCCAGTGATACCTGGCACAGATGGACGTCCGTTCTACTTACTGCTTGCCCCACAACTCCGACCGTCACACACGTCCACCCTGACCACTCCACCGCCCTGATCGCTCAACCGCCCTGACCACTCAACCGCCCTGACCACTCAACCGCCCTAACCACTCAACGGCCCACTCGCATTAAATTTCGATTTAAAGCTTTCGTGACTGCAGGGATTCATCTTCTTTGCATATCAAGAAGAATGCCATTCTTTTGTCAAGGCACTCTTCCCCCTCCAACCCAGCTTAAATATACACTGCCAAACCTGGTGGTGTTTCATTCAGACGCTGTCTTTCCAACAGACCTGTTCTTCACCTGAGGACGGCTGCTTGCGTTGTGGCCGAAACGTCGTGAGAATAATTTTATTATGTTTTATTTTTATTCTTGTATTGTGTTACTTTATTATTTTATTATTTCCCTTCTACGTGAATTTACCGAAAGAACCAAGAAAATGGGCCCACTCGCAGTCGCACTCCTGCACCCGATAACACCGTGCGTAGCAACGGCCATTGACTAAAGATGCTCGCAAAATCCGAACCCCCCCCCCCCCCTTGTCTCAGACAGTCATGCATTATTCATCTTGCATACATTCCCTTATAAATTAATTAATGTGTATCCTTCATTACGCTCTTCAACCCAGCACAGTCTTGTCGAGTCTAAAGGTGGGAGGGGCGGGGCTTTTTCAGGAGGCTGCTGCCATGTCGGGTGGTGGAGGGTTACGACACATTTATAAATAACGCAGTAGGAGAGGGGCGATGTAGCCACTGCGTGTGCGATGACAATCGGGGCGGTGCTCCTCATTGCAAGGCCTGCGGGCCTCTGGCTGGCTCCTGGTGGCCTTTAGTTGCGGCCCCTGAGTGTCTCCCCCCCCCCTCCCCCATCATCATCGTGGTTTCAAATATGTGGCGACTCTCGCACTGATGATGTCTTGGCGGCAAAAGTGGGCCCCTCTGAAAACACCACATTAAGAGTAATTTTCTGGTATTTTTAAATCCTTTATATTAAGTTCACTTGCTTGCTTGCTTGCGCGCTTACGACCGTGCACATCTTTCGGTCGTTTTTTAACCCACTTCCCGTGATCCAATCGAGCTGACATTTTGCACACAGACTCGTTGTGCGTGACAATTCATTTTCGTGAAAAAATTTTCCCAAAATTTTACACTTTTTAGGAAAAAATAAATTATATTTAATTACCAATTGCTTAATGGTGGCAGGCAATCATCTGACCCATAGGTGGCAGCCATCTCAAGCCAGAGGACGAGAGGACTCTAGCCGCCACGCATATAAAGGATTTATAGTGAAAACTTTGTTTTTACGGGTAAATTTTTTTCAGCATCGGGATGGCCTGTCCACTACCGTACCTATTACATACATTGCATGTGGGCTTTTCTTCAGCTATGGGAGGAGGAAACCGGAGGAGCCTGGGGAGAACCCCCTGGCAGGACAGGGGGAGAGAGAACGTACGATACTCCGTCACAGAAATACGCCCTGGTCGGCAATCAAACCCAGGTCCTTCGGTCTGGGAGGCAATCGTGTTAACCCCTGCCACCCCACCACCCTGCCACCCTGCCACCCAAATACTGTAGTGCTACTTACTGCAACCCCCTGAATGGTAGTAGAAACACAATTACAGAATGTTGTATCGATCCACTGCTGGATGAGCAGCCCCCCATCCCCCACACCTTTCGGGACCTGAGTGACATTTTGGCCATACTTCACCACGTTTTGTCAGCGCACGTTGGTGAATGTTGTGGAGCCACAGCCATCGGAGCGCAGCACAGTGTGCGACCGGCTGTGTCCTTCGCTCCGCTCGCCCTCTGCGACAAAACCAGCCACCGCGAAGCCTCCCGTCACTCGCCGCTGCCCACGAGGTGTCCTCCCGCGGCCCCACGAGGGGTCCTCCCGCGCCCCGCTCGCCTTGCGAGGATCTGACGACGGGATCCGGAGCGCGGCACGAACCGTGGGACAGGCGCGTGACGCTGGTGAGCAGAGCTTCACCGAAGTGCCGATAATAGTCTCTTCGCGGGGGGGCGGGGGGGGGTGGAGGTCAGAGGGGGTCAGGGGGGGGCAGAGGGGGGGCAGAGGGGGGGGGAGCCGTGAACATTCAGCAACCATATGTGGAAATGGTCTTCGGCCCTGTTTACGCGATAATCAGAGACAGCAGTAACACACGGTGGCTTCATGAAGACGAATTCGTTTTTTTTCCATGAGGCGTTCTTACCATAACTTCACCACGTTGGCTGAATGGGCACCAGCTTGCGACCGCTTCGGATAGCGCTCGGATGCCACCAATGTTGGCCGACTCGCTAACGAGGCACGCGCCTTGCCCTGATCCCGTGCCCCTACTGGACATCTGTGATAAAAAAAAAGCTTTGTAGCTCATCGGATTCCTCCGAGATAAATACATTTTGTGATTCTGATTTTTGTTGAAAAAAATCTGCATGCACATCCGTGAAGATGTGTTGTTTCCCCCTGGAACTTGATTGACCATACTTGCAGGCTGGTCACCGTGGGTTGGTGGGTCAGGGTGTGGGCAGTTTATTTGTCCTTCGAAAATGTCTCCTGTGTCACGCGTCACTGATTAGCACGGTGCGAAAAAAGTTCAACACACCTACACTGACGCATGCCCAATATTCAGACCACTTGTTGACACGTCCCTGGTGCAATGTGTAACCACGTCCCCTCGTGCAATGGTTAACCACAGAACCTTGTTGTTTGTGCTCTGCTTCTCGTTTACAAGTTTGAGCCTCGAAATATTTTCGTACGAACGGCGCGCTCAGTTGGGGTGCCAAATATTTACACATCTACCGCGACACACTGTCAACTCGCCGCTCATGAGACCAAAAAGGAATTTAATTATGAAATTATGCAAAGACATTCGTGTTTGAGCGTTCATCGCCGAACTTATATTGTTTTTTTTGTCGCTGTTGTTATTCACAACTTTGTTAAGGCGCCACGGTGGCTATGAGATGTTAACTCCCTCGCCTGATATGCAGGAGGTCGTGGGTTCGATCCCGACTCTGACCTCTGTATATTTGAAGTTTGCGTTATTCTCAATCCCCGTGGTGACGTGGAATTTTTTTCAAGGTCTTCCGTTTTTAACCCTCGACATTGAGAATCAACATCACGCGCTTCGAGTATTTGGCTGCTATGCATGGTCCACGTGATGATAGGCAACTTTTTTGTTTGTGGCCACATCGCTTCTGAAAAGATCTATCTATAGCTCAGTGGGGCCTTACCTGGTAAAATAAAACGTAATAATATAATAATATTTTATTATTTCCATTCTACGTCACTTTACCGAAAGAACCAAGAAGATGAATCCCTGCAGTCATGAAAGCTTTAAATCGAAATACTTAACATACTTAACCTATATACTTAACGTCTTTGTCAAGAACAGAATGTGGCCCGAAGAGAAACAAATACGTAATCGTTGACGCTTTGGGTAATGGCGAACGTGTGGAGTTAGTGTTTTGTTGTTGTTAGGCGTTAACAGGTCCCCTGGATGAGCAAGAGGGTGGGAGGAGAATTCCAAAGTGGAGCGGGTGGTGCGAGGGAAGACGAGGAAAGAGGAGTGTGGTGGAGTGGAGTGGGAGCGTGGAGTTGGGTATGTAATGGAGTGTGAAGTGTGGACCATGGAATGGAGTAAGCAGCATGGAATGGAGTAAGCAGCATGGAATGCAGTGCAGAGCGTGGAATTCAGCATGGAGTGGAGCATGGAATGGAGTGTGGAGCATGGAATGGAGTGCAGCATGGAATTGAGAATGGAGTGGAGCATGGAATTGACTATGGAGCGTGGAATGCATGGAATGGAGTGTGGAGCATGGAATGGAGCGTGGAATGGAGCATGGGATATAGAGTGTAGAGAGGAAGTGGGCTCCAGTTCATTGATGTTCACCGAGCGGGTGTGGCATTGGGTCGAACACAACAGAGACCGCGCGCGTTGTGGTCTCGACAGGACGTGGTAGCTGCTGAGGGCGCAGGCAGAGCAATGTCACCGTGCTCAGAAGAGGGAAATAATCGGGGGGGGGGACCATTTAATTCATTTCACCAGGATCCTGTCCAACCATCACGACACCGCTTATGTAACGAAGTGGTGGGGGAGGGGGTGGGCTAAGGAGTTGGGGCAGAGGTCGCAAACGGGTTTTGATTCCTTACCCGTACCCGGCCGGGTATGGGTACCCGTACGCTACCCATACCCGTACCTTACCCGAAATGAGTGACAAACGGTTACTCACCGGTGACTCACGGCCTACCCGTACCCGTACCCGGCCGCACCAGGGTCGCAAACGGGTACCCGTACCCGGCCGAGTACGGGTAGCCGGGTATCGGGTAGGGTACGGGTATCGGGTACCCGGTTGCGACCTCTGAGTTGGGGTAAAACGAACAGGGCACCCACCCCCACCCCCTCATTTGAGGATCCATGACTACGTTACACTCGTATGAACGTTACTACGGTAAAGCAATCCAGAGAATTGGGGGTGCGCGCCGTGGTGGTGGAGTTGCCAGATCGGAACAACCCGCGCTCGACTTGGCAATGAGGACCTCATCCTCTTAGTTCTTTCGGTAAAGTCAAGTAAGTAAAAAATGAAATTAAAATTAATAAAAAATTAAAACAATAACGACGTTTCGGAGGCAACACAAGCTTCCGTCTTCAGGTGAAACTGTCACAGCAAAAAATCTTTAGTTTCACCTGAAGACGGAAGCTTGTGTTGCCTCCGAAAAGTCGTGATTTTATTGTTTGAGTTTTATTTTTGTTATTAATTTTAATTTCATTTTTTACCTACGTGACTTTACCGAAAGAACTAAGAGTATGAATCGTTGCAGTCACGAAAGCTTAAAATCTAGAATGAGGACCTCGCCTATTTCTCTGTCTCAGCAGCAGCGGCAGCAACCACAGTCGATGGCGCGGTGAGGTTCACATTTGGGCCACCCCCACCGCTTCCGAGGATGCGAGTGGTGGCGTGTGAGCAACGCTGCGGTTTCGACCTTCCGCGATGGGGCTGTTCCTATAAAGCGACGGCTACTGACGTGCGCTGTGGGGTCCGTGTTTTATGGTCGGTCAGCGTTGTGGGGTGGAGGGTTTGCTTACTGGGTGAGATTCGGCCTGGCCGGAAAACCTTGGGGCTGGGAGGGGGGGTGGGTGCTGTGGCACGACCACCACCGCCCTCCGAAATAATATTGACTCGGCAACCCCCAAGCAGCCACTGTCTCGTCAAGTTGTGCGTTTTACAGTGGGCGTGGTGGTGGCATTGGTGGTGGTTGTGGCATTGGTGGTGGTGGTTGTGGCATTGGTGGTGGTGGCGGTGGTGGTGGTGGCATTGGTGGTGGTGGTTGTGGCATTGGTGGTGGTGGTTGTGGCATTGGTGGTGGTGGTTGTGGCATTGGTGGTTGTGGCATTGGTGGTGGTGGTTGTGGCATTGGTGGTGGTGGTTGTGGCATTGGTGGTGGTGGTTGTGGCATTGGTGGTGGTGGTGGTTGTGGCATTGGTGGTGGTGGTTGTGGCATTGGTGGTTGTGGTGGCATTGGTGCTTGTGGTGGCATTGGTGGTTGTGGTGGCATTGGTGGTGGTGGTGGTTGTGACATTGGTGGTGGTGGTGGTTGTGGCATTGGTGGTGGTGGTGGTGGTTGTGGCATTGGTGGTGGTGGTGGTGGCGGTGGTTGTGGCATTGGTGGTGGTGGTTGTTGCATTGGTGGTGGTGGCATTGGTGGTGGTTGTGGCATTGGTGGCGGTGGTTGTGGCATTGGTGGTGGTGGTTGTGGCATTGGTGGTGGTGGCGGTGGCGGCGGTGGTGGTGGTGGTGGTGACCACGCCCTTGACCACAAACAAAACAAAACCAGAGCCGCGATGCGCTCGGAGCCAGATCGCGCGCCGGGGCTGCTATCGCGTGAACGCGCTGCGTTGCAGGCAGTGAGTGGTGAGATGTTAACTACCTCGCCTGGTCAGCAGGAGGTCAGGGGTTCAATCCCGGCCGTGACACCTGCTGTATTTTTGGAGTTTGCGTGCTCTGTCTCCCCGTGGTTGCGTGGATATGTTTTTTTTCTCTCTCTCTCTCTCTCTCCACTTTTAGAAACATGCATTGAGATTATTGGGATTATTTTGGTGCTATGAATGTCCAAATGATGGACCACTTTTGTTGAGCTATCATTTGTGGCCAGGTCGCTACTGAAAAATAAGTGAATATCTCAGTGGGCTTTGCCTGGTAGGATGTGGATGGTTTCGTGTTGTATTTGTGTGTTTGTTTGGACGATTTGTTTACCTTTTCTTATACTTTACACTACTATCGCTTTTATACTTCGATTTAAAGCTTTCGTGACTGCAGGGATTCATCTTCGTGGTTCTTTCGGTAAAGTCACGTAGCATGGAAATAATGAAATAATAAAAATAAAACATAATAAAATAATATTTATAATAATATTTTTTTGTATTATATTTTATTATTTTTATTTTATTATTTCCATTCTACGTGACTTTACCGAAAGAACCAAGAAGACGCTTTTATACTGTTTGTTGTTGTAAGGTTCTTAATCGCCCCGACTGGACATCTGTTAAAAAGAGCTTTATTGCTCATCGGATTCCTCCAGTATGAATAAACTATTCTCATTCTGAACTGCACAATGCAGTCTGCTTTGTCCGGCTTCTACTCGGACGCAGTTGAGGTTAGTAAACTTGGGGAGCTCCAGCCAGCCAGGCCCCAACGATGCCATCACAATCTTCTTCATCTCCCGTACGGCTGTGGTCGACACAGAGTAACGACTACAAAACAAGAATAGGTTTCATATCCTTCATGGCAATAAACCAGGAGGTGTTAAGGTGTTAAAACACCGAACAGAAACCTTTTAGGCAAGGAATCGTGTCTGCATTAACCACGCGTTTCTGTTTGGCGTTTTAACATCTTAACACGACTGTTTTATTGCCAAAAAGGGTATGACACCTTATTCTTTTATTTCGATGCTGCCAAGAAAGGTCCATTGTTGGTAACGACTGCAATTTCACATGCAGGCGGTCAAGCGGAGCAAGTGCATCATCATCACCGCCGCCGTGATGATGTCTCCTCCTTCGCATTTGTGGATCGGCCCATCGCGTCGTGATGGACACACGCACGTGGCACCGTCTTGCGTTCCGGATGGCCACGGTCACTCCTACTCCACCTCGAGGGGTTTCTTTAAATCCTCCATTCGTCATTCCAATTGTCCCCCGAACCCCGCGTCGAGTGTTGAGCGGGCGGCGTGTTGCGACCGTGAGGTTGGTGTCGTCTGTGCCCCCCCCCCCCCCCTGGGGGGCAATGTGGTGTTACTGTCAGCCTGGGACACGGCGGGGGGGGGGGGGCGAGAGGAACGCGACCGTAGCGGCGACTGCTCCAGGAACGACAACGGCGGGGAGCGGGGAGGAGGCTGTGGAATGGTGCTAATGGATTTGAGGGCCCACGTGTGAATGGTGGTGCGTCGTTGTTGTTGTCTTTGTTGTTGTTGTTGTCGTTGGGGAGGGAGGGAGGGAGGGGAGTTCGAGTTCGCCGGCCTGCGGGGTGCCTTGACCCGCTGCTTCTGAACGGGTGCCATTAACGGAATGTTTATTCCGACGAACTGTGAAGCTATTTGTAGAACAATCGCACCATAAATTACTCGATTGGGACCCCTGCTGGTAGACCGATGCCCGCTCGCAGGCGAGATGCTGAATGGTTGTCTTGTGCCACGCACGGACAGCTGGCACTGGGCGATCCCCTAGGCCAGTGGTACGCAGGGTGGCTTGCAGTGTGGCGAGTGAGTGGGTGGATTAGTGAGAATGGGTGAGTGTGGATGGGTTAGTGGGTGAGTGAGTGGGTGGGTTAGTGAGAATGGGTGAGTGTGGATGGACTAGTGGGTGAGTGAGTGAGTGGGTGGGTTAGTGAGAGTGGGTGAGTGTGGATGGACTAGTGGGTGAGTGAGTGGGTTAGTGAGAGTGGGTGAGTGTGGATGGGCTAGTGAGTGAGTGAGTGGGTTAGTGAGAGTGGGTGAGTGAGTGGGTGGGTTAGTGAGAGTGGGTGAGTGTGGATGGGCTAGTGAGTGAGTGAGTTGGTTAGTGAGAGTGGGTGAGTGTGGATGGGCTCGTGGGTGAGTGAGTGGGTGGGTTAGTGAGAGTGGGTGAGTGTGGATGGCCTAGTGGGTGAGTGAGTGAGTGGGTTAGTGAGAGTGGGTGAGTGTGGATGGGCTCGTGGGTGATTGGTGAGTGTGAGGAGCGGTAATGTAGCTGTCAGCGAGCTGCACTACAAATACGGCGACTTGAGTTACATTGCTTCTGGGCCTCCCCTATGTTGACTCGGCCTTAAATGAGTACCTGGTGCGGTGTATAAACATCGCCACTAGGGAGACAAAGGCGGCCGGGCGTGGTGTTGGCGACCCACCCCCTCGTGTGCCGTGCCAGCCTTCTTAGGTGCTCGCTAACAGCACTTGCCCCAAAATTCTGTTCAGGCTACACGGGGCATCTTTGTCTTTGTGTGCATGGGTGTGGTGTGTTGTGACCTGCAGCGTGATGGTGGTGGTGGTGGTTGAGGTGAAACAGGCTGCGACTGGTGCAGACCGAGTCCTCGACACCGGTAGAGGAGGCGGGATGAACGAGTGGAGTTCACC